AGGCATTTGTGAAAACTTATCTATGATATGGTGGATATTGTCCAACTGAACTTGAACAGTCTGAGAGAAATTAGACAAATTAAAGCAACCCATTCCTGGGGACTGTTCACATCCCATATGTTCTTTTAACAGTAGATAGTCTGTAGTCGTAAGATTTTGGAGCCCTACAACTTGCACTTCTCCTAATTCTTGGTTGAGTTCCAACAGTATAGATCCAGTCAAATTTGTTGTTTTACTGTATGCACAGGCCAGCTTAGATATCTCCTTCCTCATTCCAATGGCAAGTCCAGGAACCAGTGGGATGAATGCAGCTACAACTGCAGCATCGCCTGGATCTTTGTTGAGGTTTTAAACAAAGTTAATTTTAAAATACTAGATCTTCATTGTGGAAAAACTGGAAAATGCTGACAAGTAAAAAGAAGAAACTATTCCTGCTGTGTAGACTTACTAGTAGTAGTAATTGTGCTGTGTGTTGTTTTGGAATGCTCTTTTTTTTTAAATTTAACAGTTTATCATGGGCATCTTCCAATGCCAGCAAGTGGAGAAATACATGACCTTTGTTTTTGTCTTTTAGCCATTCTAATATGTGCGTGTAATGGTATCTCATTGTGGTTTTAATTTGTATTTCCTTGATGACAAATGATGTTAAGCATCATTGTATGGGCTTATTTGCCAGCACTATTTTATTTGGTGAAGTATCTGTTCCATTGAGTTAGGTGGTTTGGTTCCTTACAGTTGAGCTTTAAGAGTTACTTACGTAGTCTGGGTACAAGTCCTCTGTCAGATAAGTGCTTTGCAAATATTTTCTTATGGTCTGTGGCTCGTCTTTTTGTTTTCTTAATAAAATCTTTAAGAGAGCAAAAGTTTATAAATATGGTGAAGACCAATTCCTCGGTTTTTTTCTTTTTTTCAGGGATTATGCTTTGATGTTATGTCTACCTAGGCGAAGTTTCCTGTTTTCTTCCAAACCTTTTTTAATTTTATGGTTTATCTTTAGGTCTGTGACCCATTTTGAGTTAATTGTTGTACAAACTGTGAGGCCCAGATTGTTTGTTTTTTTGTATTGTTCTGCATATGGACGTCCAGTTGTTGAACCACCCTTTGGTGAAAAGCAGTATTTTTTCCATTGTATTGCCATAGCTTCTTTGTTGAAAATCAGTTGGTCATGTATGTGTGGGGCTAATTCTGCACTCGTTTCTGTTTCATTTATTCATGTTGTCTATACTTTTGCCAAAAGCACAGTTGTCTTGATTACTGCAGCTTTATAGTAAGTCTTATAGTCAAGTGGTATGAGTCCTCCATCCTTCTTCCTCCTGAATTGTTTTGGCTATTTTTGTTCCTGTGTATTTCCATATAAACACTACAATCAGCTTGTCAGTCTATAGAACCCTGCTAGAGTTTTAATTAGGATTATATTGAATCTATAGATCACTTTGGGGAAGTTTGACATACTTAAAAATACTGAGTCAAAAAAAATTGAGTCTTATTCAAATTTCTCTCTCTCCATTTTATTAGGTTTTCTTTTATTTCATCTTTTTTTTAAATTTTCAGCTTTTATAGGTTCTACACTTATTTTGTTAGATCTATACTTAAGAATTTTGTTCAGTGCTAAGTGGCATGGTTGAATTTCTAATTGTTCAGTGCTACAGAAATATGATTGGATTTGTCTGTTGACTTTTTTATACAGTGACCTTACTAAACTCACTAGTTTTAGGAACTTTTTGTAGATTAGTGTTATTGTTTAAAGTTTGTCAATTTGGTAATAAAAACTGGCATATTATTTACTAATTTGTTGTATTTCTTTGATTACTAGGAAGGTTGTATATATGTATTTTTTTTTCTCTTTTGTGAATTTCTTTTATAGACATTTCCATTCTTTGGGGTATTTTGTTGACAGTTTTTCCCTAGTTTATCATGATCTTTTAAATTTGTGATTTCTATTTTTGGACACAGTCTTTTTTTTTTTACTTCTTAGAAACATTTTTATGTAATTGGAGCCTTTGATCTTCCCCTTTATGGTTTCAGCCTTCGGTATCATGCTTTGAAAGGCCTTCCCCACTCCTCTATACCCTTCATTAATGAGAACACATATTCCAGAATTTGCTTTTGTGCAAATATAAAATCACCCTCTTTTATTTGTCCTAAGTTGACTGCACTTAAATTCCTCCAAGTCTTTTACCTCAGGATGTGGTGTAAGGATGATTTGCTAGCCTTTGTTTCATCTCTGCACATTCCTAGGCTAAAGGATGCTTCTGGTCTGGGCCATGGTGCAGCAGTGAGAGGTAGAGGAGAGTGACCTCTGTTGTTGTGGGGACAGAGGTGTGTGAGGGATAGGGAGATGTTTCTTTTTTTCATTAAAAATTTTCTACACATACTTCATATTTCATTTAACATTATTTTATGGGCAAGCAGAGCATTTAAGTCTACCTTATTATTTTTAATGATGAATAGTTTCCTGTTTCATGAATGCACCATAGTTTATTTAACTATTTCTCTTTGTTTCCAGTTTTTTTGCCATTGTGGATGTTGTTACAGTGAATTTCCCTGTTGCCTATTTTTGACCTGCAGGTCTCTTTAATGTGGGGAACAAGCTGCTAGTGAGCCTTGATTTGCTTTTTGCAATCAGAAACCAGATCAAGCTGGGAGAGGACCCCAGAATGTCCATAAGCACTGTTCTGAAGTCAGTGCAGGAGCAAACAGGTAAAGGTTGGCTCCCTCCCTTTCCCAGGGTTAATCCTAAGATCCTGGGAATTTTCAGTGATGGTCATTTGTTGAAAGGATTATCTTGGAGGACAGTCTGATATTTTGAAAAGGAGACGTTCTTGACTTCCTAACACACTCTTCCTTTTGAATTTTACAAATGCCAAACTAACATTGGAAATTATGAGTCTTACCATGCATCCAGGGACCCTCAGCACAAGATTGAACTGACTTTTTGAACGTCATCCTTTGATCATAGGTAGACTTGGCTTCTCTGCATGTTCATCAGACACACTCTGAATACACAGCTTCTGAACATCTGCAACCAGTCCCACAGCTCATGCTGAGACCTGAGGGTGGAGACCACCCTCCCTTACTATCAGAAATTATTTTTCCCCTTGCTTTCCTTACTTCTTTCTGTTTATGATTTTCCCATCCTGTTCCTACAGGCTCTAGTCCCCCTCCACCTGTCTTGCTATGAGGTCATATAAAGTAGATAGAGCAAAGGTTCCAGGGTCAGATGGGACTGTGTTTGAGTCGGCTCTGCCACCTAGTGGCAGTGTGATTTTGAGCAGGTTATTCTCTGTGTCTCAGTTTCTCCTGTTATAAAATGAGGATAATAGCTCCTGGTTTATAAAGATGTGAGAATTAAGTGAGGAAATATTGTCAAAGCTCTTGGCACAGCGTCTCGTGCCTAGTGGGTGCTTAGTAAAAGGCAGCTATTTAGATTGCTACCGGAGCACCTGAAGGTCAGGGTACTTGACTTTTGTGGTGGTGAGTACTCTTGGGTGTTCTTTGTGGGAGAAGCAATCCTGCAGAATTGCCATTCTTGCTGGCCATTGGCTCATCCCCAGCGGCCTCAGAGTGTTTTCCTGTGGCCTTCTCAGAGTTCTTGCTCTCCTTCCAGAGAAGACTCTGACCTTGGAGGAGCTGAACCAGCTGCAGGAGCTGCTGTGCAATGGGTATTGGGCTTTCGAGTGCCTGACTGTCCGAGACTACAATGACATGATCTGTGGCATCTGTGGTGTGGCCCCCAAAGTGGAAATGGCCCAGAGGAGTGAAGAAAATGTGCTGGCACTGAAGAGTGTGGAGGTAAGTGCTTCTCAGCACCACAGGTGACCTTTAGAACTGCTCTTACATTTTGGTAACCACCTTCCTACACATGATGTCTCCAGGAACAGGTAGCTCCAGTGCTGTTCTACATAAGGCAAGTGGCTTTTGCCCAGGTTTTCATCTAAGGAAGGCCTCGTGGAAATAGGGGCATTTGTTACTTACTCAACATACTTATTAAACATGAACTCGGGGCACTTCTTAGACACTTGGGAAATAGTAGAAAAAAAACCCACAAAGCGTCTGGGCTCATTTCGCTCACATTCTGGGTAACATTATTTTATGGGCAAGCAGAGCATTTAAGTCTACCTTATTATTTTTAATGATGAATAGTTTCCTGTTTCATGAATGCACCATAGTTTATTTAACTATTTCTCTTTGTTTCCAGTTTTTTTGCCATTGTGGATGTTGTTACAGTGAATTTCCCTGTTGCCTATTTTTGACCTGCAGGTCTCTTTAATGTGGGGAACAAGCTGCTAGTGAGCCTTGATTTGCTTTTTGCAATCAGAAACCAGATCAAGCTGGGAGAGGACCCCAGAATGTCCATAAGCACTGTTCTGAAGTCAGTGCAGGAGCAAACAGGTAAAGGTTGGCTCCCTCCCTTTCCCAGGGTTAATCCTAAGATCCTGGGAATTTTCAGTGATGGTCATTTGTTGAAAGGATTATCTTGGAGGACAGTCTGATATTTTGAAAAGGAGACGTTCTTGACTTCCTAACACACTCTTCCTTTTGAATTTTACAAATGCCAAACTAACATTGGAAATTATGAGTCTTACCATGCATCCAGGGACCCTCAGCACAAGATTGAACTGACTTTTTGAACGTCATCCTTTGATCATAGGTAGACTTGGCTTCTCTGCATGTTCATCAGACACACTCTGAATACACAGCTTCTGAACATCTGCAACCAGTCCCACAGCTCATGCTGAGACCTGAGGGTGGAGACCACCCTCCCTTACTATCAGAAATTATTTTTCCCCTTGCTTTCCTTACTTCTTTCTGTTTATGATTTTCCCATCCTGTTCCTACAGGCTCTAGTCCCCCTCCACCTGTCTTGCTATGAGGTCATATAAAGTAGATAGAGCAAAGGTTCCAGGGTCAGATGGGACTGTGTTTGAGTCGGCTCTGCCACCTAGTGGCAGTGTGATTTTGAGCAGGTTATTCTCTGTGTCTCAGTTTCTCCTGTTATAAAATGAGGATAATAGCTCCTGGTTTATAAAGATGTGAGAATTAAGTGAGGAAATATTGTCAAAGCTCTTGGCACAGCGTCTCGTGCCTAGTGGGTGCTTAGTAAAAGGCAGCTATTTAGATTGCTACCGGAGCACCTGAAGGTCAGGGTACTTGACTTTTGTGGTGGTGAGTACTCTTGGGTGTTCTTTGTGGGAGAAGCAATCCTGCAGAATTGCCATTCTTGCTGGCCATTGGCTCATCCCCAGCGGCCTCAGAGTGTTTTCCTGTGGCCTTCTCAGAGTTCTTGCTCTCCTTCCAGAGAAGACTCTGACCTTGGAGGAGCTGAACCAGCTGCAGGAGCTGCTGTGCAATGGGTATTGGGCTTTCGAGTGCCTGACTGTCCGAGACTACAATGACATGATCTGTGGCATCTGTGGTGTGGCCCCCAAAGTGGAAATGGCCCAGAGGAGTGAAGAAAATGTGCTGGCACTGAAGAGTGTGGAGGTAAGTGCTTCTCAGCACCACAGGTGACCTTTAGAACTGCTCTTACATTTTGGTAACCACCTTCCTACACATGATGTCTCCAGGAACAGGTAGCTCCAGTGCTGTCCTACATAAGGCAAGTGGCTTTTGCCCAGGTTTTCATCTAAGGAAGGCCTCGTGGAAATAGGGGCATTTGTTACTTACTCAACATACTTATTAAACATGAACTCGGGGCACTTCTTAGACACTTGGGAAATAGTAGAAAAAAAACCCACAAAGCGTCTGGGCTCATTTCGCTCACATTCTGGGTTAGGGAACCAGGAAATAAAAATTATTAACAATTGTATATATTAATACAACATTAATATATACTATATGAATATATGTAGGACAGTAAAGCAGAATAAGGAGAAGAGAGCAGTGTGGTGGAGAGGGGAATTCCTGTTTTATAGAGGGTAGTATCGGAAGGCCCCTCTGATACAGTGGTATGAATAGAAATTTGAAGCCCATGTAGCTCTTGGGGAATGCAGAGCAGAGGGAGCAGCAAGAAACAGGGTCTGAGGTGAGCTTGCTAACATGGTTGAAGAATAGGAGAGGCCAGTGTGGCTGGAGTGTGTGAGCAGTGGAGATAGTGGTAGGATATGTGAGATTCAAGAGACCATAGGAAGCCCAGCTCCCCATGAGGTCAAGTGAGCCATTGGAAGGACTTATGCTGAGTGAAGTGGAGAGTCTTGAAGAAAAGAGTGACCTGATCTCACTTACTTAGGTTCTTAACTAAGAAATGTTCACACAAAGATAACACCAAATTCAGGCGGCATTATACTTTAAATTCTAACAAACATCTAAGAAATACATGATGCCAGTCATAGAAGAATAGTATAAGTGGGTATATTTCCCCAGTTGAAAACAAAACCAGTCATTTAATAAGAGAAAAAATTGGGGCTAATTGTCCTTATGACTATAGATGCCAAAGTCTTGAACAACATAATAGCAAATCAAATCTACAATGAATAAAGTAATACATTGTGACTAAGTTTATCCCAGGAAAGAAAAATTGTCTCAACATTAGAAAATACACTAGTGTAATTCACTACTTAATATTTGAAGGAGAAAACCCACATGATTCTTTCATTAGATATAAAAATAGATTTCATTATTATTCAATACCCATTTATGATAAAGCCCTTAGCAAACTGAGACTAACAGGGAATGTTTCTTAAACTGGTTTAGGGTTTTTACAAAAAATGCCTAGATGAATTAACTGCCATGGTCACACTATAGGGTCTGGCCCGCATGCCCAGTGAGTGCCCTGTGATTATGCCAGCAGTTGCCATCGGGGGTGAGGTTGCCATCTGTGCACTGTACCATAGTAACTGAGAGGACTGGAAAATGAAGTAACAGGACTGGTACAGGACCTCTGGAGAAAAGCTTTGGTGTATTTTGGCATGGCCAGCAGAGCATTTTAGGGATTAAGTGCATATTCCTCTTTTTCTTCCTATTCAAAAAAGGGACATGCATTTATCAGCTACTTCTATTTGAAGGATGGTGGTACATGAAAACAAGCATAGTGCTTTCTGAGTGTTCCTTATAGATAAAATGAACTGTAAAAAAATTACTACTTTTGTGTTACCTCACCAGGAGGCTATGCCAGACTCATTCAAATCTGCTTGCTCAATGGTATTATTAATTAAGGCAGCTACAGTTTATTGAGCATTTTATTACATATCCCAAGCTCTTACTCTGTGCTCAGTGCTTTACCATATAAACGTATTTCTCATCCCAACCCTGTGAGATTTTTTAGGTGAAGGAACTAAAGCACAGGGGGACTCGTCCAAATTCACCCAGCCAGGAAAGAGTGAGCTGGAACCTCATCTCTGTCTAGCTGGTTGACTCCAGAATCTGACTCCTAAATGCTGCTGTGCTCACCAGTGCCTTCTGGGATGCCGGCTCTGTTTTTTTTTTTTATTTAAAACACATCTGACTACAGAGACTTTTTGGTTTCCAGAATAAACAGAAGCTACCCTGCAAAGCTCGTGTCTCCTAATCTTGCCTAGTACCTGCCTTGTCCCAGTCAGGACTCTTTCCTCATGGGACGGAGTAGTAGCCCCTGCATTGTCAGTGTGTACGCTACCACCCTCCTCTGGCCTCACTTGATTTCCTCCCTTGGTGTATGCAGAGCAGTGGGCTGTAAAGGGAGTCGTGGGTATTCTAGTCCATGAAATAAAACCAGAGATTATGGAACAAAACTTACGTATGCGGGTGTCTGTGAAGACACTGGTTGGCTCCTCCCCTCAGGGACTGTGTAGAGGAGGGCCCTCTGGACTGATGACAACAGCCATGTCAGTTTGCACACGCAACACATTGTTAACATTTTCTGTCCTCTTGTTCTTTGCATCAAGAGGGTGAGCTCAGTACCCTTTGAAACTCTGGTGGGAGAAGCATGCCATTTATTCACAGCATGCACTAGTGCCCTGTGACTGGGAAACAAAGGGGAGTAACTTGGGGGAGATGTCTCTGTGTAGAGCAATGGTTCTCATCCTTTGTGGATGTAAGAATTACATTGCCAGTGGTTCTCAGCTCTCCAGTAATGCAAATGACTGTCATCTAAGGAGTTGGATCAGGGTCACACTTCCAGGCCCATAAGAGGGCATACAAGAAGAGCTGAATAATAGCACAAGAGCTAGATGCCTACAGTAGATAAGTAACCTGCATGAGGTAGAGGAAGTAGCTGTGTGCTGGCAAGGTCTGCGTGGGAGGACCTTCTGAGGAGGTGATGGATCACAGGGCCTTGGAGGTGGTGGGATCTCACTGAATTTTATTCCAGTGATTCCTGCTAGCTGGGAATAAGGGCTTGTGCTTTGGAACTAGACCTTGTTCACATTCTTTTTTTTTTTTTTATTAAGATATGATTGATATACACTCTTATGAAGGTTTCACATGAAAAAACAATGTGGTTACTACATTTACCATATTATCAAGTCCCCCCTATGCCCCTGCAGTCACTGTCCATCAGTGTAGTCAGATGCCACAGATCCACTATGTGCCTTCTCTGTGCTACACTGTTCTCCCCGTGATCCCCCACACCATGTGTGCTAAATATAATACCCCTCAGTCCCCTTCTCCCTTCCTTCTCACCCACCCTCCCCCACCCTTCCCCTTTGGTAACCACTAGTCCCTTCTTGGAGTCTGTGAGTCTGCTGCTATTTTGTTCCTTCAGTTTTGCTTTGCTGTTATACTCCACAAATGAGGGAAATCATTTGGCACTTGTCTTTCTCCGCCTGTCTTTTTTCACTGACCATTAATACCCTCTAGCTCCATCCATGTTGTTGCAAATGGTAGATTTGTTTGTTTCTTATGGCTGAATAGTATTCCATTGTGTATGTGTACCACATCATCTTTATCCATTCATCTATTAATGGACACTTAGGTTGCTGGCTATTGTAAATAGTGCTGCAATAAACATAGGGGTGCATATGTCTTTTTGAGTCTGAGAACTTGTATTCTTTGGGTAAATTCCGAGGAGTGGAATTCCCAGGTCAAATGGTATTTCTATTTTTAGTTTTTTTGAGGAATCTCCATATTGCTTTCCACAATGGTTGAACTAGCTTACATTCCCACCAGCAGTGTAGGAGGGTTCCCCTTTCTCCGCATCCTTGCCAGCATTTGTTGTCTTTCTAATACTGGCCATCCTAACTGGTGTGAGGTGATAATTTCATTGTGGTTTTTATTTGCATTTCCCTAATAATTAGTGATGTGGAGCATCTTTTCATGTGTCTGTTCCTTTTCATGTGTTGTTAATATTCTTTAGCTCCTATGATTTGACCTTTTTTATGCTGACCTTTTAGTTCACCTGGCCTGAGTTCCTGGGCCCTACTGAGGTAAACGTGGAGGACTTTTGGGCCACAATGGAGACAGAAGTGATTGAGCAGGTGGCCTTCCCTGCTAGCATCCCTATCACCAAGTTTGATGCCTCTGTTATTGCCCCGTTCTTCCCACCACTCATGAGAGGAGCTATGGTCGTCAACACAGAGAAAGACAAAAACCTGGATGTGCAGCCAGTACCTGGTAAGGCCACCTGGTGTCTGACTAAGGTCAGGGAAGGCCCTGTGAAGAGTCTGGAACATTGTCCATGGCAAGACAGCACAAATGGCAGAGAGTGGGCTAGGCCTACCTAGAGGACTACTTCTGGAAAGATAATGACAACTGGGACATAATTCCCTAGAGATTAAAGTCATGGTACAGAGTTTTGAATAGCTGCCAGCCATATTGTATAGGACTGACCCACAGAGCCCCCCCACCCATCAGCCCTCTGGGATGTACTATACTAAAAAGTGGGAATCCTCTGAAAAATGCTGATAGTAAGGCTCCAACCCCAAAGATTCTCATTAACAGGCATAGTCAGGGTCAGGGTGTCTGCTTTTAAGCAGATCTTTCTGATGATTTTGCAGATACTCTGTATATAAATTGCAAAGCCCGGGACTTGGCTGTGGAGAGCATAGACTTCTGAAAACTTAGGTTGGATTCTCAGCAGTACCATTTAGTATCTGTGTGACCTCCACCAAATCCCTTCATTGCCCTGAGTGTCTGTTGCTTCATTTGCAAAGGGGGCATGATACTATTACCCCCTCCTGGGTTGTTGTGAAGATTAAATGAGGTAATATAGTTAAAGTGATAGCCTTCTACTTTTTTTTTTTACTACAGCTCAGTCAGAAATTGTTTCTGCATCGTGACCCAGCTTTGACACTCATATAAACATGCACTTTTCCTTACCAAGTGCAATATACTTTATTTTCTATTTTATTTCATTTAAGAAATTCTGGATATTTTATTAGTATTTAATATGTTGCAATCCACTCATTCTCAAACACTGCTTAACATTACATGCCAAGGTCCCACCTCATATTTGCTGCTTCAAAGCCCAGGAATGTTTTTTTAAGGCCTCCACATAGTCTGTTGGTTAGGCAGATTCAGGAACATAATATATAGAGAGCAGTTTGAAAGTGAGAGTTGCTGCTCTTATTTGCAGTTGTGGTAAGCGTCTGACATTTGGATTCTGAAAAACCTTAAAAGGTTAAAAGCTGGCTCATTTTGGGGTTCTTTTCAAGGGTGCTCTGCTGATACCTCACCTAGATGTTCAAGGGCAGAAACTTGTTCAAGCTGTGAGATACTTCAAATATCTTTAGAAGTCATAAGATTTGCCTTGAGTCCCCCTCTCCAGCACCCAGGGCAGTGCTCAAGGCAGAGCCTGCTTCCACTGCCTGCCATACTGTAGGCCCCTTGTTCTCACCCTGGCTCATGAGAGGACTACCTGTGACCTCTGTTGGCCAGCAGCCCTTACATTAGCACCACCATGTCTTGCAGGCAATGGCAGTGCCTTGGTGAGGCTGCTCCAGGAAGGCACCTGCCAGCTCGGGGAGATTGGCTCCTACAGTGAGGAGGAGCTGCAGCACCTGCTGAGGCAGTGTGGTGTCCCCTTCAGGGTGGAGGACTCCAAGGTGAGCACTGGGGCAGGAGAGACTGGGACTTGGGAGTAGGCTGGTGGGGGTTTTTCTGGGCAGGGGTATAAATGCCTGTAACTGGGTGCTATGTTGGCAATCCACAAGGCCTGGGAGACAGGCAGCCAAATGGTGACATGCATATGAGTCCTTTCTCTCCAGTCGGTTTCTCTACTAAAAATGGTGTGCCCGGACTCTGGCGTCAGGAATCCTGGCTCTCCTGATCACTGTGTGCAACCTCGAATAAGCTACCTTACATTTCTGAGCCTCATTTTCCCCATTTGCAAAGTGTAAATAACAAAAATACTGATCTCATGAGGTTGTTGTAAGGAAGGTAGTTTGCACAATATCTGGTTATCACCCATCCTGGCTCTTAGGAAATGGATACTCTTATATCCATAGAGAGTGTGCACATGAGTTTTATCTATATATTATTTACTTTCCTTCGGGCTAATGTACTGTTGAAAATTTTCTGCTCCATTCAAGTTCAGCTTCAAATGTTGGCTTCTCTTGGAAGTATTCCCTGCCCTGTAAAAGTAGGAAGAACCCAGGCCTCAGAGTCTGGCAGCTGACCATTTTGGCTGACTCTGTGACCTGGTCCTTTCAGGGCCTCAGGTCCCCATCTGTACCTAGAGGATGTCAGGCCAGTGAGGCCACAAGGCCCACTCTGGCCTTCGCAGATGAGTCTTCTGTTTCTGGGAATTGAAGGGAACATTCAGTGCTACGCACCACACCTGGTTCTTAGCATTTACTGCTGTTCTTTTTTATCTCATCCTTCTGCTCCAGGACCAGCTCTGCTTCTCCTTGTTGGCTCTCTATAAATCTGTACAGAATGGAGCCAGAGCTAGACAGCCCCCACCTCATCTTACAGGGGGTAAAATCTATAAGATGTGCCCCCATCAGGTAAGAGGCTGATAGGGAGGAGCAGGAGTAAGTTTCTTCGGGTCAGATCGCCTGCACAGAGGATCTGACGGACCCAGGTCATCCTGTGGGAGCTGGCACTCAGTCACTGGGCAGCTGTGGCTTAGGTGCAACCGTTTGAGCTAGGCAGAGAGCCTGAGTCAGCATCAGTGAGCACTTCCTAAGTACCTTACCAGGTGCTGGCCTCTCCCTAGCTGTTGAGGCTACAGAGGTGAGCAGTGAAGCTGTCATTCCTCCCTCGTGGACCTCATCTTGATGGGGATCTAAAGTCACCACGGCTATGGCAGTAGCTCTGAAGGAACTAGACAAGTCCTGAGGTAGAAAGTAACACAGAGGGACCTGCTTCCCATGGGCCTGCCAGCCAAGGCCGCGAGACCCAGTGATGAGCTAGGGAAGGAATATGCCAACAGAGGGAAGGTGACCATGAAGTCTTAAGAAGGAAAGCCTGGGAGCCAAGAGGAGGAGGGGAGAGGGGTCACCAGCGGGTGCATTGAATGGAGCTTTGCAGGCTGTGGTAACAGTTTGGATTCCTGCTAGAGTGATGAGGGACCCATTGCACAGTTTTGAATGGGAAATGGGGTGGTCATGGTCTCATTTTGGTTTTAAGACATGGTCTGTGGAGAGAGTGGACAGGATAAGCACCAGGTAGCTCGTACACCATGTGATAGAGTAGAGCCAGGCATATACTGGTATAGAAAATCCCCTGAACCAGTACCAAATGGGAAAGAGAGGGTTTAGCAGAGCCACCAGTTCACTGAGGTGTGTGCTTGGGCAGGGCGATGAGTTGTCAAGAGAATGGGTTCTCAGCTCCTTTGACAAAAGTCTGTCTGAGGGCGATGCTCACTGCTTTATCCTGGAGATGAGAGCCTGCTTGCAGGGTTGTGTGCATGCGAATGCGGAGCCGTCAGAAGTACTTGACAGCACAGGGGACGGAGAGCTGTAGATCTCAGGGCTGAGGATGGGGAGGCTGTTCTTGGAGGCGATAGCCAGGACTGGTGGGTGAAGGCAGGGAGGCAGAGGCATCATATGCAGAGCTGCCCAGCAGTGGAGTGGCGCTCAGGGGCCCTGCCAGTGGAGGTGCTTACTAGCCTACTTCAGGGGTTCCCATCTGGATGGGGGGAAGCTGCTCAAACATACTGATGTTTAGATCTCACGCCTTGAGGCTTATTTGCATTTGGTATGAGGCCCAGGAACCTCTAATTTTTTTTTTTGGTATCATTGATCTACAATTACATGAGGAACATTATGTTTACTGGAGTCCCTCCTTCACCAAGTCCCCCCCACATACCCCATTAGTCACTGTCCATCAGCATAGTGAGATGCTGTAGAATCACTACTTGTCTTCTCTGTTTTGCACAGCCCTCCCTGTGCCCCCCCCACATTATACGTGCTAATCGTAAGGCCCCCTTTCTTCTCCCCCCCCTTCTCCCTCCCTTCCCATCCATCCTCCCCAGTCCCTTTCCCTTTGGTAACTGTTAGTCCTTTCTTGGGTTCTGTGATTCTGCTGCTGTTTTGAGGAACCTCTATTTTTAACCACATCTTAACTGCTAGTGCTGTGCAGCCAGGAGTGGGAGCCCGGGACTGGATGGTGTTTGGGAGGGCGAAATGGAGGGTGATTTGGAACAAATGCCCAGGGGGCATTTCACCCTCAGTCAAGGACCAGATACTCCCAACTCTTCTCAGGAGAGCTGGGATGAGCTGGTAACTTCATTTAGGGACATAAGTAGGAGGGTAGTAGAATGTCATGGGCTTTGGCAGGAGGACTTTCACTTCAGTCATGAAATCAGATTGTCATCTTCCTGGGAAGAAGCGGGTGAGGCCTCAGCACTGCCTGCAGCTTGGCCTCTCACCCCTGTGCTCTGCCCCGCCTCCCCCACTGCAGGTGGTCTGTGGCTCCAAGTACCTCGTGCGGGGCGAGAGTGCCCGGGACCACGTGGATCTGCTTGTCTCTTCACGCCATTGGCCTCCTGTCTATGTGGTAGACATGGCCACACCAGTGGCCCTCTGTGCTGACCTCTGCTACCCAGAGCTCACTGACCAGATGTGGGGAAGAAACCAGGGCTGTTTCTCTAGCCCCATGGAGCCGCCCATGGTGAGTTTCCTTCTGAGGAACTAGAATACATCCTTTGGGCTGACCACATTTCACCCACTGGTTCTTCAGAAAGGCCTTCTGGGAACAATCACCAGCATCTTTTTCCTTCATCAACAATTTGTCTTCAGGCTCTGGAACCAGCATTTACTCCACACCTTTTTAGTGACCAACCCGTGTGTGTGTGTAAGGCCACAGCATGTCACTTAGTGTGCCCAGGATGTCCCAGATACAAGTACCTCAGGGTCAGAGGGTCACCCTCCAGATAAGCCTAGAAAATTGCCATCTTTGAGAGACATTGTATACACTGACTTACTAACAGTCCAGATCTACCCTGTCTTGGATTTGCCCATTAATAGACTGCATGGTATGCCTGTTGTAATCTAAAGGCACAGCTTAGAAAACACTGACATTACCCCAGTCTCTCCTTTTATTAAAAGCCCCAGAGTGGAAAATGAACTTGTCCAGTCAGGTAGTCCATCTGGCTCTGGAGGTGACCACTGTCACTACCCCTGTTCTCACAGGAGGACATGGAAGCACAGAGGAGGAGGAGGGGGACTTGCCCCAGGAGAGATGATCTGTGGTGAAATGAGGGTTTAATGAAACAGGGCTGACCCACAGCCTTCACTCACCCACCACACAGGTGCTACCTTGGTCATTCCCTCATGTCAAAGTGGTTTCTTATCTCTGCCCTAGAGCATGTCCTGCCCGGAACTCCTGGACCAGCATTATGCCGTGGACATGACAGAGGCTGTGCACTCTTTCCAGCACCCGGTCACCAAGACTGCCACACGGCGCATTGTCCATGCAGGCACACAGCCCAGTGCTGGTGACCCCAGTGCTGGGCACCACTCCTTGGCCCTGTGCCCTGAGTTGGCACCCTATGCAACCATCCTGGCCTCCATTGCAGACAGCAAACCGAACAGCGTCCGCCAGCAGCCCATTTCCTTTGACAATGCCACCCACTATTACCTCTACAATCGCCTCATGGACTTCCTCACCAGCCGCGAGATTGTCAACCAGCAGATCCACGACATTGTGCAGAGCTGCCAGCCTGGAGAGGTGGTCATCCGCGACACTCTCTACCGCCTTGGGGTTGCTCAGATCAAGACAGAGGCAGAGGAGGAGGGTGAGGAGGAGGAGGTGGCCGCAGTGGCAGAATAAACCTGGCTCTTGTACAGGGACTGCACTGTCTCAAGCCATAGTGAGGCCCTTCCCTGGGGCGGATTCATCCAGGGGACAGGTGGGAGCCTTCGCCTGTAGAGGTGGGAAGGCCTCTGATGCTGGGACTTACCAAAGAGCTTCCATTTCCTGAGCACAGGGGCCCCAGGGCCCTTGGTTTTCAACCTCCTCGGGTCAGGAGAGACACCAGGACACTCTTAATAGCCCTGAGAAAGCACGTGGGGGATGTGTGTTTAACAAAGGGAAAGGGAGGCTGAGGGAAGACTGGTAGCTGGTGGTATCCCTGGGGTCTGCTGCAGGTGAGTGTTGAGGTCCTAGGGTAGGCTACAGTGGAGCTGGCACTAGGTGGGAAGGCCACTGAGGTGTCTCTTCCCACCCATGAAGAATGATGGATGTCTCAACCCCCATAGCCGCCCAAGTTCTTAGCCTATTGCCTTTGACTCAGGGCCTTAGGGGCCTCATTAACTCTAGGTGTCCCTTTGGGCTCTTGGTTGTCTCAGAGGAGGAATGCATTTCCCTCCTGCTCTTCCTGCACCCACATCTGGGGAAAGCTGAGGAGGGAGAAATAGCTGCAGCTCTCTTCCAGGACTGCTTCTCTGCCCTGAGCTTTGAGGAAGAGGACCCCCTTCCTCCTTTCCCTGGCCACTGCTGCTGCATTCTACATCCTCTCTGGGCCCTGGACCCTCCCCACAGAGGGGATGTGGCCCAGGGGCATGACGTAACCTGGCAGCAGTAGGAAAAACTCCCTTCTGTGAAGGGGAAGCAGACTGGGCCATAATGACACAGCAGGACTGGCTCGAGTGCCCAAGGTTTGCTTAGGGCCCAGGAATTGGCCATGTGTTACTTAATTTATTGAGAGGAGTGGAGTAGGTGGCTTTTTTCCCCTCCCTCTTCCCCCAACAAAAATAAAATTTATTAAATTATCTGGTTTTGATGAAGCAAGAGTCAATTCTATGCTCATTGTGTAGGGCACAGTGTCGTTGAACTTGAGGTTCTGGGCTGGTCACTTGATGTGAAGGGGGATGGAAGGAGGTCCCAGGGCATCCACAGGCCCTCGTGTGGCGCAGAGAACCATAGCTGGCTGTGTTAATGTTAGTTTAATGACAGAGACATCCCACAGTCTGTTAGTTATAATTAGGCAACCTGGGGGAGTGTGTGCTGCTTTCTTGGTGTGACCAGCCACACGGGTGCCCTATCTTCCAGCTCAGAATGATGAAGGGCTAGGCAGACACCCTGAACTTTTAGCTTCCACCTGGCTCATTATAGCAGTACCAGATCCAGGGTGGGTGGCACTGTGGAGAGAAGGCTAGAGGGCAGAGGCTAAGAGATACAATTAGATTCTTACAAGGAGCCACCCTGTTCAGAAGGGCTTGAGCCGGGGTGGCCTCTGAGCACTTGTCTGGTCTTGTGCTTCACTTGGTTAGAAAGGGTGTTCTTTTCCTAAGGCCCAAGAAGCCTCGTTTTCTCAATGTTAGGGCAGCTCCAGGGAACTTCGTAGTCACAAAACCAGCCCATTTCCAGTCACAAAACCAGACACGAGGGGAGTGGGGAAGGTTAAGAGTGAGCTGGGGCTTCTACTGGTTGGCATAGCATTGAGAACAGTGGGCAGGGGCTCAGCCTCAGCCTCAGTCCCTGACTGGCAGTGATGGCCCAGGCTCTGGAAACAGTCCTCTCTGACCTCCCATGGATTACACATTCCTGAGTTGTAGACCTGGGCCAGGCTGTTGAGTGAAACAATGGAGGGTAGAGTCTGTTCTCCCCATGGTGCCCCTTCCATAAAGGAGCGGAAGCTCGGAGGAGGGGGCAGGCAGTGGTTCACAGTTGTCACCTCCTCAGCAAAACTGGTAGTTGTTGGGCTGCAGCAGGGGCTGGGCTGCATCTGCCTGCTCACAGCAGGCCAGCTGATTGCTGGAGCTCTCCTCCCCCGGCTCACTGCTACTGCTGCTCCTGCTGGGCAGGTTGGTGTAGGCCTGAGGGCAGGAGAAGGCGAGCAGGTCAGTCCTGATTGCTGGGGTGCAGCTTGCCCTGCCTTAGCCGTCTGGAGCCGGCCCCACTCACCCTCTCTCTCCTGCCCACGTGGGCCTGCTCCTGAAGAAGGGAGCAGATCTGCTGGAAGGTGGGTCTGCGGGTAGGCTCCAGGGCCCAGCAGGCCTGCATGATGCCATATCTGAGACAGGAGAGAAACTCCCCATTGGTCTGGGATCCACACACACGTCCACATCCTAAAGAGTCCTGCCCAGCAGAGGTCCCAAAACCTAGTCAAAAGTGAGCTTCACCCAAGACCTGTGCTAAGTCCTTGACATGTGTGATTTCGTTTAATCTTCCCAGTAATCCTTGGAGAAAGGTATTTTCATCACACCCATTTTGACAACTGAGACAAGAAAAAGCTCAGAGATGCTATCTCACCCAAGCTCCTAGAACTGAGAAGGGGCACTCTTGCTGCCTGCAGGTAGGTTTGAGAGGTGGGCTGAGAGAAGAATGGCTGGTTGGCTGTAGCAAGAGACTAAAGTGGCAGGTCGGCTGAGGGGTGTGCCACAGCTGGGTGTGTCCACCTTGGCAGTGAGTGCCTGGATGGGTCCCGAGGGCAGCTATGTTGAGAGAGTGACTGGGAAGAGATGCAGTGGGTGAGTTCATGGCCAGCTGGCCCCTTCAAAGGTTGCGAGGGCAGGGAACCAGTGAGAGGCAGTAGTAAGGTGGTCAGGAGGCTATGGTGGCTTGCTTGGCTGCACTAAATGAAAAGCTGGCCAGCACCTCCACCAGGACAGAGAAGGAATGAGAGGAGCATTCCTCAAGGTCATCATAACAGTCCAAGTTAAAAACCTATCATCTGAGTCAGGACCAGCCCCAGTTAAGAGCACTCAGCTTCGAGAACATCCCCCATGACACCTGGGGAACCAGGGGAACCCTGAACTTGGCAAAAGGGGCTTGTTTTCATCCTCCATAGAAGAGAGGAAACCTGGCCCTGGAACATTGTGGACAGAAGGAGTAGGACCATATGCCTTTCCACCCCTTTCAACCAAAGGTGTCCTCCTTCCTCCCTAGGGTCCTTCACTTACATGTTCTTTGGGGCAAACACAGGCTGGGCCATTTGGTATCCATCCTTTACCAGTTTATAGAATTTGCTGTTCACCAGGATGCCAGGGTACGGGTTCAGCCCTGCGGAGGTCAAGATCATGTAAGAGATCACACTCGGTGTTCACCTTCCCCTTTCCCTGCGCCCACACATCTCAGTGAGGCTGGATGCGAAGGGCCCTTCCTGAACTACGATAAAGGAACTGCGAAGGGCCTATTACCTAGGCCTCATCACACCATGCAGAGAATTCCAGCACAGGCTTTGGAGTAGTTAACAGGAGTGCATGGAAAGCCTAAGCCCAAGTCCCTGTGCCTAGCGCTTCAGAAAGGAGCCACGCTTCAAGGATATGCATGTTTCAGACGATGAGGGGCCAACAACACAGTAGGAAGCTGCAACTATGCAAGCTCGCACATGAGGGAACAGCCCAGAAGGAATGCCTTTCGGGGTGACGGTCTGCCCAACCCACACAAGCTGCAAGAACACCCGACTTTAAGATGCTTTGTCCACCCCTTCACTCACACTAGCCCTTGTTCTGCCATCAAGCAGCCTTGACTAGCATCCTCCACAAGGTGTAGGATACCAGTTCACCAAACACGAATCAACCCCAGACTGAGCCTGCCCTGGTCCAACAGCTCACCGAGTGAGAAGATCTCCCAGAGGAGGATGCCGTAGGACCAGACATCACTCTGAACCGTGTAGATACAGTCGAAGATGCTCTCTGGAGCCATCCACTTCACAGGGAGGCGGGCCTGGCACAGCAGACTCCAGTCACATTGGACCCTGTCTCACCATCCCCTCCCCAGCCTGGCCCATGCTTCCCGCTACTCACATTGCCCTTGACGATGTAGTTGGAGTCATTCATGATGTCCCTAGCCAGCCCAAAGTCCCCAATCTTGGCCACACGTCCACTGGTCAGCAGCACGTTCCGGGCTGCCACATCCCGATGGATGCACTAAGCGAAAGCACTGCAGGGTTAGTCTTGTGAGGCCCCTCCCTTCCTGAGCCCAAGGTGCAGGATGAGCAGCCCAGGCCCCAGGAGGCCTTGGGTCCCCTTTGAAGGAGTGGGCATCCATTGGTCATGTACGGCTTCTGCCCCTACCTTCTACCAGGACCCGTGTCTGAGAAAATTTAATGTGGTCAGGCAGTGCAGCTTTTAGAAACCACCATTACTGTGGCTCTCTGGCCCTGAGCAGCAGGAGCTGACTTAGAACCTGCTGCCCTGCCTGGGCTCAGAAACAATGATCCCTCGTGCTGGGAGCAGCCTCTGGCCCACAGCAGTCACTAATAATAGCAGCTGCCACCTTCAGGGCCTTCCTGTGCCTGGCCCTTCCCTAGGCATCTGTACCCATAATTGTTCTGCTCTAAAATACCCTGCATTTGTGCTCATTTTTATAGGTGTAGAAACTGAGGCTCAGAGAAATTCAGTAGTTGCTCAAAGTCACACAGCAAGTGGCAGAGCCAGCAGTCAAACCCTGGACCCCTCAAGTGCTTTAAGGAGGATGATCACAGCTCCCACTGTCTGGGTTGAGTATTGTACACACAGTTCATACCCAATAGCAATTCAGGGAGGTTCTGTTATCCCCACGAGACTGTGCTTTGTGAGGGGACACAACAGTTGTCTCATTCACACTACTGAATAAAAAGGAATAAAGCCTATTTTGGAAATGGGTCCTCCTAAGCCTGCTGTGCACCGGGAAACAGGCTCCTCTTGGGCTGGGGCTTGCTCCCTTCTGGGAACTCTCCAGACACAGCTTTCTCCCTCCACTCTACCCCTACAAGCACTTCAAGGCAGCAAAATGTGTGGCCACCGCTTGCTTGCTCTCTGGCCCTCTGACTCCCCCTCACCCTCCTCACCCTCCTCACCCTCCCCATGGGCTTCCCTCTCCTCCCCTTTGTTCTCACCATCCGGCCTAACAGGAGTTCAGCTGCCCCCACCTCCCTGGGTAACCACATGCCAGGACCTGTTCCCAACTCACATTCTTGGAAGCCAGGAAGGCCATGCCCTGTGCCACCTGGCTCGAGAACTGGAGCAGGTCACACAGCTCCAGCAGCCGCCCCTCCTTGTCTGGGTCTGGTGTGGGGAGAGGTATTAGGGCAGCCCCACCACATGCCTGCCGCTCCCTGCCCGGGATCCAGCAGCCCCTCTCCTCCCCAACCCTGGTACCTCCTCACCTTGTTCAGAGTAGGAGTCGTTGGAGGAGGAAGTGGAGACAGGCCTCATCTCCACATAGGTGTCCACACCCTGGCTAGAGAAGCCACTGTCCCTGCAGAAAAGAGAGGGCCAGGGGCAGGTGGGTCCCATCACTGCATTGCCCAGCTCAGGCTTTGGCCTCCAGCTGCCCCATGGCCTCTCCCAGTCACTTAGCAGAGAAGGGCAGGGACCTTGGGGTCAACTGGAACAACCTTTCTGACAAGGAACCTCCTGCCATCTGAGTGATCATTGATCTCTGGCCATTCAGGGAGGTAGTTAAACCTGTTCTGTCTTTGGGCAGCTCTGCCTGTTGGTAAATTCTTCATTGTTTCTAATGCCAATCTGCCCCTGGGATTTTCTCCCTCCTGGTCCTCGCTTTACCCACAGGGACCACGGAAAAGTGGGCTCTCTTTTCCCCTAACAGCTCTGCAGGGACTTGAGCATATTCTAGGGCCCCTTCTTTGAGCTCACTCCATTGAGACAGTGGCTCTCACCCCTGGCTTCACTTTAAGATCACCTGGGGAGCTTTTGACGCTCTGCAGGCCCAGACCATCTCCAAAACAATACGGGCAAAGCCCAGTCATTTGCACTTGTAAATCTCTCCAGGCAATTCCAGTGTGCAGCCTGAGCTGCGGCCCACTGGTCTAGAATAGTGCTTCTCAAACTAATTCAAG